CATGTATTTTCAAAAATGCCCTCCACCCTTTCCTGGAAAAATGAATTTTTGTTTAAAGTTTAAATTAACTGTACTAGAACACATATAACACAGTCCAAGCAGGTAAAAAAATTCATCCCTCCAAACTTTCATTATTTTTGCACGTTTCAGCTAGATTCATACCATTACTTTCTGCAGTGTAACACCGGTCACGGTAGCCTAGTGGTAGAGCGTTCGTTTTGTGATCGGGAGGCCCGGGTTCGATTCTAGCTCGCAGCGCCGCGTCATACTTAAGACGTAAACAGAGGTAGTGACTGTTCCTTCGCCAAGCGCTCGGCACTAGAAGTGAAAGTCACGGGTCTTTCGGATATGACCTTAAAAACATAGGTCCCGTGTCACGGTAGGCGTTGGCACGATAAAGAACCCTCACTGCTCAATGGCCCTGAGTGCCGAGTATAGGTCTAAATTTGAAGCCGTTCACCGGCATCAGTGACGTCTCCATATGAGTGAAAAATTCTCAAGAGGGACGTTAAACAATATACAATCAATCAATCAATCTTCAGTGTAACCTTACTTTTTTGTGATTAAAGATGTTGGATTTGAATACCTTTTTTATTCTTTCTGTTTCAATAATTGTCATGTCAGCCTAGGTGTGCTACATGTAATTGTATTGGTATATTAAAAAATGAAAGGAATAGAGATATATAAATTTATTCTTAAATTAGTTGTTTAAAGATAAATTTCAATATGAAAGAATAGTGAGAGTAATTATACATGTTGAAGTATATATAAATTAATATTCAAATGTTTAATATAATTTTAAAGACATACATTAACATTAGTTTTAAAAGTGCCCTCCTGAGATCATGTCGCGTCACAAAGTGTTATTTTTGTTTTTATTAAAGATTTTTACAAACTGAAATTCTATTATGCTTTACGTTAAATTATTTATTCATTATTTATGCCCGGAGTTCCAGAAAAAGGATATATGGGAAGGTTTTCATGAAATTTCGCTAGACGCATGTACAAATTTATTTTCGAGTTTCCTCTGATCTTACACGATAATCTTGCTGCACTCGATATTAATAGAAATTTGCAATGTTTTTAAGATGACATATAGACGGAACTAGGAACAGTTTTTCCTTTCACATACGAGGGGTGATCAAAAAGTTCGCAAACTATCTCTATATCTACAAAACTACAATTCAGATTAGTAAACGATTTGGTGCAAACATAGCCATACAGACCGGTCACTGTAGCCTAGTGGTAGAGCGTTCGCTTCGTGATCGGGAGGCCCGGGTTCGATTCTCGATCGCGGCGCCGCGTCATACCTAAGACGTAAACAAAGGTAGTGACTGTTCCTTCGCCAAGCGCTCGGCACTAGAAGTGAAAGTCACGGGTCTTTAGGATATGACCTTATAAACGTAGGTCCCGTGTCACGGTAGGCGTTGGCACGATAAAGAACCCTCACTGCTCATTGGCCCTGAGTGCCGAGTATAGGTCTAAATTTGAAGCCCTTCACCGGCATCGGTGACGTCTCCATATGAGTGAAAAATTCTCAAGAGGGACGTTAAACAATATACAATCAATCAATCATAGCCATACAGAAGTTCTATAAATAGCATATGCTGAATAAAGTTTTGCTCCTTGTTTGTGACGTCACAATGTGAAAATGACGTCAATATTTCGGTCACTTGTGACGAAAAATGGCTGTCTCAGTCTTACTCTTTTAAAAAACGACTGTAAAATTTAGTGTTCACTTAAAAATCTTGAAAGTAATGTACAATAATTTGTACATTGTTTATTAAGACAAATGACTTCTTATCAATTAAATCAAGGATTGGATTGGTCGTTTAGTGAAGGAAGGCAGATGGTTGAAAATTATACCTGTTATGTTGCCCAGTAAAAGCAAGTTTAAAAGGAGGTGTATTTTTAATAAAGCAATTTGCTATCAAAGACATGGCGAGAAATATAAAACTCAGAAAAATCTTTCAGCTTTTGTGACAGAAGGCAAAGGAGAAGGTCACGTGACCGCCTATATCACGTGATTCGCGCATGTGAAGAACAGTGACAGATGTGCATGGAATTCGGAGAGGATTAATTTAAAATATACCGGGTAATCAACACTGAAACCAAAAATTATTTCTGTTATGGATGTTATTCAATTAGTTTGCGAACTTTTTGATCACCCTTCGTATAGGTAAATTTTGAAAGTACATGTATATAGACGAGCCAAACTCAAAAAAGAAAAAATATACCTCCTTGCACTCGCACATATTCCTGAACAGAGGGTCTGGCTCAAACTTCAATGGAATTTAGATGTAAACATGGTACTCTTACCAAATCAAAGATCTAGATCTTCCAAAAACACGTTTCTATTTTTTGTAAAAGTATTTTTTCTAGGGATGTCAACGAGTACCCGGTTAACCGGGTACTCGATCGAACGTCCGAGTATCGAATACTAAAATCGGTACTCGGTTACTCGGATGTATATTTTTAAACATTTCTAAGCTTATTTATTAATGCATTAAAACATCGGTTTTAAAAACGTAAACTGTTCATTGCACTTGTACATACAGTAATTAGGGTTTCCTATGCCTCTAAATGACCGTTATCGCCTGTGGCAGTGTTTATACAGTAATTATCGTGACCAAACACCTGATGTACCTACCCGGGCTTTTCTCACCTTCGACTGTCGTCTTCCCTTATATTTAGTTTGCTTTAATTATTTGTTTTCATTGAACATCGTTTAAGGTCCATTATATTTAAACAAATTAAATAATTTTGTCAATTCTCCAAAAAGCCGTAAATTCTCGGGAAAGAGACAGACGATATTGCACGTGCGATTGTTGATTTGGATGCATTTGATTACATGCCAATTAATAATGCAAATAGTTGAAGGCAAATGCTTTAAAAATCTTATGTCCATCGTTGCTCCAAACTACGACATACCGTATCGTAATTCTATGAAATCTAGGATCAAAAAGTGTACGAAGATCGTATAAATCCGCTCTGTTATAGGATAACTTGATCAAGTTTATACCGTACATATAGCTCAGACAACTTATCACTTGGACATCAAACGCACCAAAGAGTTACATTACAATTACGGAACAGATTATTTTTTAAACAAAAATACTGTGAACCATTTCTGATTTTATTTCTCGTATTTATCTGATAAATAAATTGAACTTAAAAAAATGTTAGATTAAATTTCGTCGGTTACAAAGTGGTCATAATTGTTACAACGCATTTGCAGGTAACCTCCCATCGGTTTTATTTCTACAAGAGTTTACAATGTTTTACAGTTATCAATTAACTTGTTCATATTTATATACACTTTTACCGAGTACCCGGGTACTCGATCGGAAAAACGTCCGAGTAACCGAGTATCAAAAATTGACCGATTTGACATCCCTAATTTTTTCATAAGGATACACATACTGTACAATTGATCATGATGTGTATGCAGAATTAGAGAAAAGGTCGACATTTAACACGTTGAATCATTTGTCAATTTACTTTCGGGCCAATGGCTCATCATCCTTTACATTCTAAATTACGCTTTGGTCAAGTTATATCAGATTCAAACGTAACACATAAAATATAACCAAACGAAATGATTAAGAAAGAATGGGATTTGATGGGATAATTTATAAAAGTTTGTTATATTTTAAAATGACCCTTTGCAATTGGTAAAGTTATATTAGATTTAATCAAGGAAATTAAGAAACATAGCAAATTTCAAAGAGAGATAATTAAAATCGATTTAAATTTGATCGTATTATTTACTAAATGTTAATACATGTACTGTATTTTAACACTGGCATCACTGATTCAAAAGTATGTCATTGCCATTGGTCAGGTGAAATTACATGAAAAAGGAAAAACGATTTTTAAACCTGTTAAATTCTCATTAAAATATTTTGTTTGTTTTTTGAAAAAACTCTCAAGAACAGCAGGGCTTGTGAATAGCTATATAAACAAGTACGCATTCTCAGATAATGCAGATTGAGGTTCATAACGATGAAAAATTAATGGATGATCCGTTTTACTTTGCATTTTAAGGGGGATTTTTTAGCGAGCGCAGCGAGGCGGCGCAAACGATCTCAATAGACTTACGAGTACGAACGGAGGAAATTCAAGTTGAAATCTGCACATTGTTCCAAGAAATTTTTATCTCACCGCGTGAAAAATTCCAAACTCCCAATAATCCTTTGCGGTGCATAGCAACATGATGGCTAAAACATAGCATCAACTTATTTGAAATAATTACAAACAACGATTTAATGCAATCTCCATGCCACAAAACTACCGTTTGCGACCTAAGTCAACAGGACTTTTTATTTGACATCATACTTTCGTCACTTCGGGTATTTCCTATTTTGTTGGAAACTTCCGAAAAGTTCGGAATCTCGATCCCGTGGGAAGTGATTTTTTCTAATGAATTTAGGATAGGAAGTTCAATTTAACGCTGAGTAAAGGTTTTTGATAGTAAATCACTGCGCTCGCCCAACGGTCGCACCGTAGAACATATTATTTTTCTTAATTATTTCATTGCAGAGTTTGCAGAAAAGACCTCATTTCAAACAAAATTGTCGTCTTTCGAGAACAAAACCGTACAATTCAAAAGGAATGGAGATGCTCAAATTAGAATAATAAAACTAGTTGATTCTATCAATATTGAACAAACTTATCCTCAACAGTATCATAGAAATCAGACAAAAACTACTGAATATGAGGACGCCCTTCAGAGAGTGGATTACCTGGACTGCTCAGGTCTAGATTTTAGTAAAAGCGAAAAGCAGATGACAGATTTCTCTCAAATCCAGGTTGATGATTTTTTGAACTGGATGAAAGACTGTAATGAGGTCTTCCAAAAAGCACAGTCTGCAAAATGTCGATCTATTTTATCCACATTATTTGCTGCACATATAAAAGAAGAAATATTAGAGATCCAACCAAAAAATGTGCTTCTGATTATTGATCACTGCATAAATCACTCTATTAAAAACAAAAACCACATATTAGTTTTTGAGCTTGTAAGGTTATACATATTCAGTGTCGATTTTAATTTGCAAAATTGTTTTAAAGGTAAAAAAATAAATTCTGTCATTATGGACACACTCTTGCAAGCAGCGAAATGCATGATTTTAAGTATATGTCCAAGACTTCGTCAAAATGCAATCAGTCTATCGTTCTGTCATGAATGCAGTCAAGAAAGACCTCTTGTGATGATGATGTCATACAAAGGTGTTATAGAAATGAAAGACGGAATCCCGAAGAAAGCCATGGGGATAAATTTGGTACTGTATAACTATACACATCCATCTAGTGAAGCATGTAATGTCTTTAATTCCTTTATGGCTTCTTCTTTCGCGATAAACTTGCCTGTTATTACAGAAAAAGAAGCGAAAAAACTTTTCAAGAAGCATTCCAACCTAACCCTGATATCAGCATCCTCATTTAAATCAACAGGATTTTCAAAAGGAAAGCATAGGGTTGTTGAAAAACCATGTATTAGTCTATTATGTCTACATAAAGGATTTATTCCGTTAGGAGAAGAAGAGTTTCCAAAACAAATCAATGGGTTTGATGTAGATGTACAGGAGGGATATTGCTCTTTTGGAACTGGTAGATCTATAGACTTTGGAGGACATATTCGTCGTGCCAGAGGAATAAATACCCCAGGAAATGGAAGCATTGGGGGTTTTGTCGATTTGTCAGATGGTTTAGTTGGTTTAATAACATGTGCCCACGTTGTGTTTTCATCAGATGAATTGTTAATACCAAACAGTGAAATGCATAATTTTGTACTAGGCAAAGGGACCGATTTAAACGTAGAATTTTTTGATAAAAATCAGCATAATTTTCAAGTGTGTGGCACCATTGTGAATAAATGTTTTCCATTATCATCTAAGAACAATTCAGTTGATGCTGCTTTGATCAAACTTGACCCAACTGTTAATGAATTTGAATTTCCAGTAACTGATCAACTTTATTCAGCAGGTAAGATGTTTGAATTTGAATGTTTTATGTTCTATTTAGTCACCAAGGAATCTGAGGAAGGATGGATAAGACAAACCGAATGCCCTTGCTGGGTTTGATTTTAATTCACTTGAGATAAAAGCTCAAATCTGATTTACCTTTGCATTTAAATGTTTACTATCGTCAAAGATATATAGATTCTAAACAGGCTTAGTACTTCACTTGTTAATTTTTCACAAATTCAACTTCTTCTCAAGAATCAATGTTACATGTTTTAATCAAACTTGGTATTGTAAAGCATCCTTTTTTATTAGAAATTTAAATTGTTAAAATGAAGGTGATATTTTGGTTAAAAAGCTTTACAAGGGGTAAAAGTAATAAAAACAAAAAACAATGGAGTACTCCAAAAGATCTTGATTATGATGTTTTTCAGAAAAAGTGGGTAACATTATTGAAATCATATATAGTTGTACATCATGATATTTTTTGTGAAGGGTGTTTTGGGTTACAATAGGGGATCCAAGTTTTACATAAAAAAATATGAGAGATCTTTAGAAATCTTCTTCAGCAAATAAATTTCCAGAAAAGATCTTCAACTTATTATGTGGAAGCATCCTTTAGTGTTACATTCTAAATTGTTCAAGTGATGGCACTAAAAGGGCGGTTTTAAAAAGAAATCCATAGGAAAAATATAATTGTAAATTGTCTTCTGCCTTTTGTTAAATTATAGTTTGAAAATTAAAATAAAAATAGGTTTCATTCAAAAGAATATTTTATGAAGATTTAGATAAAATAAAGTACATTTACAAAGAAAAAAAAACATTTTGTTTCCATTCCAGGTTTTGACCCGAATAAATCACCCATATTTACTGGAGAAGTTGTTAATGTACCAGATCCTGATCCTGTTTTCAAAGTCATCAGCAAAATAACAGATAAATCAGACAGTGTCGTAAAATACGGGAGTAAAACAAGATTCACAATTGGTAATCTCTACTTTAATGGAGCACATATCCGCTTTGTGGACGATACTGGAAACTTGCCAGACAATACAGTTGCTGTGATGTGCAATCAAATTGAAATTCAGAGCCTTCCCCATGGGACTTTTTTTGAGCCCGGTGATTCTGGAGCCTTTGTCTTCTGTATTAACCCTGATAAGACATTGAGCTGTCTTGGGATGGCGATAGGTTCTACCACCAAAGGGTCCTGTTTTGTGACGCCTATGACCAGAATTTTAATTCTTTTGGTCTTCCTCATATATTGAAGCCATGTTCTCCCTTTCCTCTGTAAACACATCTACAGTGTCAGACAATCCTTCAAGTTCTCACTTAGCAGCTCAAAGTAATGCTACATCCGAGCTAGGTACTGTTGAAATTGCAATACTTCAATAACAAGTATGCAAACGTCAATATCAGATGTGCAAAACCAACAAAGAAATATTCAATCTTCATTACAGAGTATGCAAACGGACGTTGGAAATTTAAAAACGGAAGTTGGAAATTTGAAAACGGAAGTTCAAGCAGAATTTGGAAACTTAAGAACGGAAGTTCAAAGGGAAGTTGGAAACTTGAGAACGGAAGTTCAAGTAGAAAATGAAAATTTGAGAACACAAGTGCAAACGGAAGTTGGGTATCTGAAAATTCAAGTTCAAGAAATTAAAGAGGAATTTCAGATCAGGTCAACTGGAAGCTCGCCTGACATCAATCAAAATTAAAAACCTTTGTAATCATCCTGTACTAAACACTATATAGAGTTTACATATAGGTTACATATAAGTTTACAGCTGTAACTTTGGCCAATTTTGGGGATTACTGATAGCAGATAATTTTTTAGGTTTCTTTAATTAATATCCTTTGTATAAAGCAATAAAATATGTTAAAAACAGCAGATAATTTCAATTAATATTCAATAAAGTGGATTAATAGATATACATCATTTTAGCTCTATTGGTGGACGACAAGAAGAGTAAGGTGTGTGTTGCAACGCACTTTGAAAAATCATAAACTTAGAAAAAAAAATCAAAGTTCATTAAATTTGGGACCTAGTTACATGTAACGTTAAATATAATTTTTATTTTCAAAGTGCGTTAATATAGACCATATAAAAAAATGGTTATATTCTGCCAAGTTTTAGATATAACAATGACTTTAACCTGATTAAAAAACTTTTAGATGAAGACGTCAATACAAGAAATGAAATATAGACGCATAAGGATACAAGAAATGTGATAAAATGGAATCTAAGTTTGTATGCTCAATGAAAACAATTTTCCAACATGACATCGTTCATTTTAAATATATTTGATACGTATTTAAAAGTTGTTTATTCTCAAGAAAGTGGCCTTTATTTAACAGCTTGTTATTTTTTAGATAAGTATTTAGATGATTATAAATTAATCATAAATTTGATTTTGTGATTTGTATTTGATGTTGAAAAGTTTCTTTCGCCAGAGATTAGTCAATTGGCAATTCTTGCTAAGATCTTAGATATGAGATGGCTCCTCAGCTTCAATTGATATGGAGCGTTATTTTTTTTTAAGAAAAGCTTTGTTCATTTTCCTTTTCATTAATTGTTAGTCAATTTAAATCTTATGAGAAAATGTGATAACATTTTGGAAAGAGAAAATAAAAAAGGGGGCTGAATGAAAGTGTTTTTCTACATTTCTGGTCTCCATTTTCGATAAGGGCAAATTAATTCACCGGTTGTACGAATGAATCATCAGAAAGTAAATCTTAGTCAGGAAATTTTATTTTTCATAGTGCTATTAGTACCTCCATGGAAAATATTGTTTATGTACATTTTTCAACACACTTTTCAAAAATTAAGTGCGTTGATTTTGTACCAATTTTGACACACTTTAAAAATTCCAGTTTTTTTTTTAACGTTGCCATAGCTAGGTGTCTGTCGTCTACTTGTATGTCTGTTCATCTGTCTGTAAACAATTTTAAACGCTACTCCGCCTAGAGTTTTAGTCTGATGATAATTAAATTTTGTTATATACCGAAAGGAAAAGAAGCGTAAGGTAATCTTTTCAGGTGAATTAAAATTATGTTTTCTTAATTTTTTTCAGTGTTCCGTGTTTCTATCTAACTTTTAATAATTTTTCAAAAAGATAAAACCAAAATCCCATTTGATTTTGTATACGCAGGGGTGATAAGGAACCATACAGAATAATTCTACCTTGACTAAGTCAGTGACACAATATGACGTCATAGTGGGCGAAATGACGTCAATTTTAAAGCACAGGTTTTCGTAATATTAGTTTTTAGAGATGTAATTTAACTCTAGGAAAGAAATTGAAACGTGTAAAGATTAACATCAAATACAATGTTTTTATTTTGTTATTCTGTATTTGTCTGTATCTGTCAATTTGATTAAAATCTAACAACGATGACGTCATATGTGTAAATCGAGTAACTTTGAAATTGATCATGTTGTGTAAAGAGAATTTGGCTAATACGGCATTTACAGAGATACGTAAAATGAAGTTTAAAAACAGATATCGGGAATATTATGTGAAATGCATATGGACTTCAGTTAAATAAACAGGTAGGCTTATTTATTTTCATCAATTATATTCTCTTTTGTAACACAGTCCGCTATATAAGTATCTTAGTCGACCTTTCCTTGATCATTCGTGAAAAAAATAATGCCATAGAACAACAATAAGCTGGATATTTCAAAACGTAAGATTTGTACAGATGGAAAGTTTGCCTTATAAAATACTTGAAAAGTGCTGCTAGAATTTCGAGTTAAGCAAGGTTTTACGAAAATTCCTTGTTCATATGTATAAAATACAAAATGTAATGTAAGGTTTCGTGCAAATGTGTGTTATAATTATTTTACTGACAGGACAGTGGGATTCAAGCAGCACTTTTCAGGCAAAATAAACGTTTTTCGACAATGTTATTTACTCACAGAATTTATTAAACTCCGGGGCATTGTTGTTCTGTTAGCTTTTTTACTAAGGTACTTTTTGCTATTAATAGAAATCACATGCTGTAGTGGTAGTGGCGCACGTCATAGCGTTAGACGCTCTTTCATCTTTAGGCAATAGTTAATAAAAGGTTGCGTTTTTCAATGGTTTTGGTGAATTATCTAACTTAATTTTCTTTCAAAAGTCTAAATTTCTCGAGAAATGATTTATTTGCTTCCTTAACATACCAGCGTAATAACTCATGGGTTATTGAAGCTCATATGACGAAACCCTAAAAAGTGAAAATCAAAACTCTCATTATCTTCAATGACTCTCCCGCGCACCTGTCATGGGCCTTATTTCTCCTGTGCATTTAATCCATCAGTTTTATCTTTCAATCCCCAGCTCTATTGAGCATGGGCAAGTACAGTTAATTCTCGATAAACCGCCACCTTTTGTAATTTAGAAATCATGGCGGCATAACGAATTTGGCGATGATTTGAATTTCCCATCTTTTAAGAAACAAGAAGTAGAGTTACCGTTCTTAGAAATACCATAAAACGTTTCCTTTCTTATAATTACATGTTTATTTTAAACATATTTCTAAATTTTAAAATACTTCAAGTTATTTTTTTATGTACATGAATTTCTTTAAAACAAAATGTGCAGTTATGAAATAAAGACAAGTACATGTGCATTTATGTACATGGAAATCAGCACGTCTGATATTGAAAAAAAACATATGGGTCGATACGTCGTGATATATTGCTGACAGTAAGTAAAATGGTTTCTTGAATAAATTTATGAAATCATTGTTAGTGAAATGTTCACAATTTATACCGTATAATTATTTTTAAGCAAACTTTGCATTGTTTAAAGCGGAGATCATCAAAAGAGTATCGTATTCGGCGTAATTTAACAGCTACTGCTTTCGTGGAGAAGCCATTACTAAAAGATTTTTAAACAAAACAACAGAACAAAATCATTGTAACAGTTCATCTTAAATTTATTTGTTCATTTTACTCTAATTTAATTATCTACTTGTTCGCACCTTGTTTGGCTTTGCATGTTTTCGACAGGGATAACTTGTAACCAATTAGTCGCACCTCACTGACCGCACACACCTGTGGCGGTATTGCCAGATAATTGACACTTAAAAATGGACGTTTGTTTTGAAAACAGGGTGGCGGATGGCGGTATGCGAATTTGGCGTTATAAAGAGAATTTTATATAGCACGAAAAACGTTCTTGGGAAATCATGGCGGTATTGCGAAAATGGTGATGAATCGAATGGCGATAATTCGAGAATTGACTGTACGCAAAACAATTTGTGATACGACGCGTGCATGCGCCAGTGAGAGGTACACAACAGTAAGTTGACGGGCTCAAAAAATTAAATTGAGGAATTGTTTTCTTTCATGATTCGTGTCAATGTAATGATAATAATAGTGTACTTTATGAAGGGTAGCTTTAGTGGAAGTGAGTTGACGATTGAAGTGATGGCAGGACAAATAATCCGCTGGAAACCTGACTCTGTTTCGTATTAACGTGATCGTCACGGTTGATTGAAAGCCATTCCATGGCCCCTCTCTGACAATGGGTAACAAGTAACCCAACTTCCGTAAACTCTACCAAGATTGCAAGAAATTCATATCGTCTCTAAATAGTTAAAAACAAAGTGTATACCTAAGTTGCATCAAATGATGCAATAAGTTTTGTTGACAAACTCGTCGTCATCAAAATGTACGTGTTTTAGGTTTTTTAGCGTTTTCCCTACTTGACGTCATACATTTTACGATTGAGTAATTCTGAACACTGATTTGTTTTCGGTCATGCGATTCAAAATTTTTCGAATATTATTGCTAGTCTGCGTTTCTTTTTTCCTTTCAGTATATTTAATTTCTACGGGACCCGAAACCAGTTTCCCATAGCCATAAATTCGCTATATCCGAGTTTATTATATCCGTACAATTTTACCAGTAATTTTGAAGAATTTGGCAGGGATTGCTAAAACTTACGCTTTATTACTTAATTCGATACAAATGTACCTAGTTTATAGGTTTAATACCTAGAAGCAGAGATTTTTAATAGTGATACTGTGACACACAAAGGGGAAAATTGACAAATGTAGAATATTTGCATAACTCATGTCATCCATGGATGCTTTGTACCAAAATTGGTTGAAATTGGTTGAGGACTTGCAGAGAAGAAGCGGAAAACGTTCAAATGTTAACACACGGCTGATTAAGACGGACAAAAACAGATAGCAATAAGCTCACTTGAGTTACTCAGGTGACCTAAAAATCAGAATTGAAATAGAGCACTTGAGGTACTCAAATAGCCTAAAA